GGATAACAATAAAATCTCCGGGCCATGAGAGAGATTCATATGGTAGGTCCAAATTTGATTAATAATTGCAGCGACTTAAGAGGGAAATGGGGACATGGTAAACAAACAGGAATGATGACGCCCCAAAAGGAAACACCTCTAGAGTAGCACAATATCAACACTTAAGAAGTTGTAATAAAAAGTTAGGAAGATACGAGGATGGGTAGTAGGTAGATTTACCAGGACGGAAGAAGTGATAGCACAGTTGTTTGGCAGAAAGTTGGTCAAAGTTGGGTTTACTTTACTCGTATCTTTGACTAGTTGAGAATGCTAAGACTTAGTTACGATGTCAGATAAGCGTCTGTGAATGTATAATTTATTAGTCCGACGCTGGGATTTAGCATACCTATTTAGTAGAGGATTTCGGACAAAATAAAACCAACTAACTTGGTTTGGCAACACGATACAGTTACGAAAGAGTTTAGATCTTTTTATACCCTAGATCACTTAAGATTTAAGCAGTCTGTAAATGCCATTATTATGCCTCAAGATGACATTGTATTTTATCTGGTTCCCGAGAAGCTATAATATTTTAGGTTTATTGCAGTTTTAACCTCAACGAGGTCTTATTGGCACCCTTAAGGTGATTCTATACTAGTTCATAAATATCTTGGCCAATTTTTCGTGTATAAAGAGGTTTTTGAGGCTACCATAAGATCGTTTATATGAGATTTATTCATCCTATTTAGTTAATGGTGACAAGGGGGCTGGTAGATGAATTTATCTGAGCCCTCCTGAGAGTGCTGATGAGACCTAGGCGAGGTCGCATATGCAGTTTACTTTATTCTAAATGTGAATACCTTTTCAGAAGCAAGGCTGCGTATATTTTAATGATTTTTCTATTTGCTTGAGATCTGCTGATTCCATTTTAATGCCGGATTTCGTAAAATTTATTTCTTGAAAACATGAATTATCTATTTGTTATAAAATCTATCTTAGTAACATTGGATATCTTGAATGTGCATAATGGTCTTTTGCGCAGTTATAATGGTATAACCAGATTTTAGCAGGCTTTTGACTATTAGACTTAAGGATTAATTCTATCTACATTAATTATTATTTAAAATATCCTCTAGAATCAATCAAAGGCGGCATTCAAAGCACACAAATTTTGGAGTAAGAGCAGCGCTAGGCTCAGCGACTTCTCTAAAAATCTGCTTTTTATCAGGATACAAGATTTCGTTGGCACGCGTTAAATTATTTCGCCGACGTTGTTCTCTATTCCCATTCCTAAATCTGCCCCTTGCCTTCTGTCCCTCTCGAGGAAAGTTCCTAAGCTCATCTCACCTACTGCCCTGTGCCTCACCCTGTTTGCGCCGCCTTCTCAACTGAACTAGCCGCTATCCTCCTGGGGATCAGACAAGCGTCTCTCGTGCGTATATCCAAACGTGTGTCATACTTTCTAGTGCTTGACAGCAACGTGTGAATAGTTTATGCATACATATATTATCCACGTTGGCTGATAATGACTATAGTCCCTTACTGTTTTTTAGGGCCTCTAGTTCACTAAATACATTTTTGAGTAAGGTACTATTGCAATATGACTGTTATAAAAGCTATTTACATAAAAATAAGGATAATTTATTTTCATTTATTTCAAAATTTAAGTGTTTATTTGCATGTATTGCTTCATTTCTCATGTAGCCTCCATAAAATTCGGACAAAGTGATTATATTCTCATAATCACAACATCAAACACAATTTTTAAAATAATTTTAGAGGGTTATTGGTTACATAAGGCGCAGCCTTGATTGTATGTAATGCAAAACTTACCTTGTGTTCATATTCTGGTGCAAATACAGTCAGATATATTTAATAAACTGATTACAATAAAGCGGTTGTCTGAAGAAAATTATAACCTTAATCAGTAACTTGTTCTGAAATCTACGGAATGATAATATAAAACGACCATTAAAATGATGATAGGATTTTAGAGAATTTTTTACAGCAAATTTCTGAAATTAACCGTAAAGGGCGAGCATACATTTATATGAATATGTGTTGAGAGGGTGGGGTGATTAATTTTAACAAACGCCAACACTTAATTCACCCTGAAAACTTAATATTAGAACGAGTTATTATCATGACAAGAATTTTTTAATGCAGCTTTGTTACTCATTTTTATTGCAGGCAATACTGTGGTGTTTGTATTGACATATATAACACGTAGAATCATTTAAGCGGGTTGAGTTCCCTTCACGCCATACATATTTTTACTTTCATATTTGCAAAATGGAAGACGCCCATATCTGTAGTAAAGATGATATCTTAAAAATCTTCTCTGTTGATGAGAACAAAGGCCTCACTGATAAACAGGTTATGATGAATTTAGAGATGTATGGTTATAATGGTAAGTCGTGTTTTTATTTTCACTTCTTCTTCAGAGCTACCGGCTGAAGAAGGTAAGGATATTGGCGGCATCATTTTTTGTGAATTTAGGAAAGCCTTTATGGAAGCTTGTTTTGGAGCAGTTTAACGATTTGCTCGTCAAAATATTGTTACTTGCCGCGACGATATCCTTTGTATGATAATTTATCACTTATTTTAAAGGTTCTTGCATTGTTTGAAGACAGTGAAGACTCGATTACCGCATTTGTCGAACCTTTCGTTATATTGTTAATTTTGATAATAAATGCTATCGTTGGGGTCTGGCAGGTCGGTTTGCCTATTGATTCTAATCCTTAAAGGAGAGAAACGCAGAGTCCGCCATAGAGGCACTAAAGGAATATGAATCTGATGATGCTAAAGTAATTCGGGCTTGTCATCATGGAATCCAGCGTATCAAGTCTCGAGAGCTCGTGCCTGGGGATATTGTTGAGATAGCAGGTCAGGAGGCTCATTTTACAATAACTAAGTGTTGAATTATGCTACGGACTTTACTTTTTTAACTTTTGTAGTTGGAGATAAAGTACCAGCAGATATCCGCATCA